AGAGGTAATCAAAAACTGTACCCAAGAAAAATAGAAATCATGCAATCTGATGAAAAAGGAAAGAGGATTCTACCTCTGCAATCTATCAGCTATAGCAGGCTGAGAAGAAGACATGCCCTTTGGTCAATCTCCTCGAGTCACACGTGCACGGGGCTGTGCGTTCACAAGCACGGTCATATCACAACATTGTCCAAGAAAGAGAACTCGCCCATACGCTCAGGCCAAGGAAATGTCCCAGACACAATCTGCCTCTGACCATCGAGAGCTGACCCCATCTCCTCGTTTAGTCCTGCTCGTGCAGCGTCACGGCAGCAAGTATGGGATGAACCTAGAAACGGTGTCCTCGCATCTCCATCATCCACAACACTTTTCATTACATGAAAAGGACAGTGCTCGTCAGCTCCTCCTCCTCACCTGCACCATCTCTCTCACCTCAAAGCTACCAAAATCTAACCCAAGGACAAACAATCCTCTACAGATGTGGTCTGCGCAGTGGCCTTGACAAAAAAGCATGAGCTAAAGGGAGAAAAGAAACTAGGAAATAGCCGAGAGGTGACATTTTCCCCTACCATGACACCAGTAGCTACTTTCAAAGTCCCTATTGCCTTCTGGATCTGTGCAAGCCGTGGAAGCAGAGGATTGCAACGACACAGAGAAGAGGAGCACGTCAGCATCTGCTCTCACCAGGGCAGCACAGACACAGCCAGCCCTCACCAGAAACACCTTCACAGCCAGCTCAGGTTTCCTTCTCTCAACAGTCAGCAAGATGTTTGTTTGCAGACTGCTTGTCATTTAGTCACTTTGGAGGAAAGAGAAACACCTCCAGCTGGACACTGCTGGACCCCACTGGAGATCATTGCAGACCACCAGACACCGCTGGAGCCTGTGGGACTCCCCTGGAGCGCCAACAAGCTTAATTGGGCCTGGAGCTGGCATTTTTTCAATCTGAGGATGACAAAGCCAGTGGAGGTGGCTGTCCTCAGCTCTCACCTCAGTACCGAATGGGTGGGTGACGATGAAGCCAGACCCACTCCGGCAGTGCCCACAGAATAGCAACAGCTCATCAAAGAATGGAGATGCCCCAACCCTGCAAACAGTCCAGATGGAGAGACAGCTCTTCCTTTGGACAAGCACAAGACTTCTGTTCTGACAGGAAGAAGTTCTGGCAAAAGACTGGTCAATAAACAAGTAAACAAACCCATAAAATCCCATAAAACCTAATTTAAAAATCAATCAAAACCAATTTTAAAACAATTTAAAAATGTTCTCCTCTTTTTTTGGCACTTTGGAGACTGCACGTGCACTCTTGTCTCCCATTCTAGTCTTCTCAGGACAGGAAAGACATTGACGGTGCAGGCCAAACCCGGCATCTTCGAGGTGGTGAGAGGCTGAGGCACATGGCACACAAGGGTAGGTGGAGGGAAGAGCCGCTGTGCAGTTGGGAGAAGAGAGGGCTCAGGGCTGGGTCTGACTGGTGCTCTTCCAGAACATGGAAATTCTTTTCCTGACTCAATACCACTTAGAAAATCATAGAGAATCATAGAATCATAGAATGGTTTGGGTTGGAAGGAACTCAAAGATCATCTAGTTCCAACCCCCCTGCCATGGGCAGGAACACCCTCCACTACACCAGGTTGCCCAAAGCCTCGTCCAACCTGGCCTTCAACACTTCCAGGGACGGGGCATCCACAATTTCTCTAGGCAAACTGTTCCAGTGCCTAAATCATCCTGGTTATCTTCCACACGCACTACACTATTGCTAGCTCTGGTATACAGAAACAAAGGATGCTTCATTTCCCCCAGCTTGCATTCCTACTCACTGTGCTAGGTTACAAGCCACAGGCTTTTCTCTCCTCAGCTTCCTGAGTCTTATTGATCAAACAAGAAGGAGGAGAGCATTCAAAGGCAACTGTTCTTGGCCAACGTGCATGGAAGTGGCATTGCATCTCTACTTCATTAGATGTGTGAGAAAAAAGCTTCATCTTAATGGTAAGAATAAAATATGGAAGTGGAGCTTTGCTGTGGAAACTGCTCCTACAGAAATACCTCTGTGAGCTCCTGAGTTCCTCTGCCTTTACAGTCTTAACTCCATAGCCAGCAGGGAGTGGGCCATGGTGTCAACTTCTTTTTCACACTTTGGCTTCTAATCAAAAGCACTATTTGGTTCTCTCCTGTATGGAGCCATGGAGAGCACTGGCAGGGATCCAGCACAGCTTACTGGAGTCCAGGGCTTGTACACTTAGGCTTCTAATCAAAAGCACTATTTGGTTTTCTCCTGTATGGAGCCATGGAGAGCGCTGGCAGGTATCCAGCACAGCTTACTGGAGTCCAGGGCTTGCACTAAACCAGGGCATGCACTAAACTGACAGGCTTGGGGCACCTCAAGAACTTCATATCAAGTTTGCTCTGTGCAGAAGTAAAAACATTGGGACTTTTTGATTTGGTTTAGAGGGGTTTATTTGGAGGTTTATTTCCTCTCTCCTTCTTCGAGCAAAAAAATCTAAGCTATTGGATTTTGCAGTAAGGGCAAGCTTGCAGTAAGCTGCAGTAAGAGCCTCAACCTCTGTTGATCTGGGTTCAAACGTGTGCTCTGCACTGTAAAGACTCCCTGCACCTGCAAGTGCTTACCCTGCCTGCTTCTGCACACTTGTCCATGAAGAGACCTCCGTGAAATGAAGCACAACAGAATGGAATTGCATGTCTTCAAGTATCAACCACAAAGAGAGCAACCAGTGAGTGTCCGTGGCGTAACAAAAGAGAACAGTGCAAAACTGTTCAACAGACAAACCTCCCCTTCACTGATACCTTTGCTTCGACGCTTCTGCCATGGCGTAACAAAAGAGAACAGTGCAAAACGTTCAACAGACAAACCTCCCTTTCACTGATACCTTTGCTTCGACGCTTCTGCCAATGCAAGGGCCAAGGGCAAATGAGATGCTGGGAAAAGGTGAAGCCAACAATAGGGGGAAAAGAGCTGCCCCACAGAACCACACTAGAACTCATTCCATTCCCTCTTCTCTCTGGCAGTAGGCAGTAGTAACGAGAGGAAGAGAATGGGATACGTATGTTTGAGGGTCCTCTACCATTCATTCTCCTTATTGAGTGGTGCAGCAACTCTCTGAGCCGCCAGCTGAACCCAAACGGCAATGGCTGATCATCACTCTGGAATCTCTCTGCCTCCAATTTCTCTAATCCATCTGCAAACACTGTTCTGTTGTTTGTCCTGATAAGCCCTGTGGGAATGTACTGCGTGCTATGTATTTGTGTTCACGTCTTCTACCCATTCCTGTCATTGTTGTCAGACTTCAGCTGTCTGTAGGTTTCTATGTAAGCCAGTTCAGCTGGTTTGAGACTGGATGGAAATCAGCATCTCCAGAGCATGGCTCTTGTCATCCTCAGGTAAGTGGAATGAATTGTCCTTTGGAGGTACTGCTTTGCTCCCTTAAGTAAGGAGAAAGCTTAGACAATTTGCAGCTTCACATTAGGTGAAATGAATTCAAACAAAAGCATGTTGGCAGAATCACCCAGGAGATCTGTGGCAGAATGAAAAACTGAGCTTGGGTTTCTCATTCATCCCCTTTTAGATCACTGTTAAAAGAGTTATCTACGTCTTCACCTACCTTCAATTTCTAAATAATCCTATGTCTCTACTCTCATTAGCACAGCCACATCAAATGAAGTTTGTCTACAGTGCAAATGGGTTCTACTGTGGATAATCATAATCTCCTTACTGAGCAAAAACTGTTGTAAGCTCATTACATATTCAGGATGCCAACTCCTGTACTTACCACGACGCCCGTCTTGAAAAGGAGGTAATGGACCGTCTGTGTCACGTCTGCAGCGTGCATTAGGTTGTGATAAGGATTTTTGTGTTTACTGTAGCCAACCTCCAGAGCTTCCACAAAAGACACCAGGGCAGAAATGGGGATCTGAGGATAGCAGCACAGAATTAGAAACAAAATCGTCACCTTTAATGGCTACCATTTGGAAAGGAGCATTTTGATAAGAGGTCCCAAAGAGCAATTTGTACTTCACAAATTAATAACACGCTAAAACATCTGAAACAGGCACGTGAGAGAGAGTGAATCCAGGTTACTTCCTCAAACTGGCTTTCCCATCCCTAATTACATTATGGATGAATCATTCCCACACATAAACACACACAAGTACACTACAAAATACCACCTGGAAGACACATGCAGTATGAAAAGTAACAGAGAGCACCTGATTGATTGTCCCTGGAGAAAGGTTTCTAGTTAGGCCACAAACATCTGTCTGTTCCCCTCCCAACCCACTGGAACATATCTCTGCTTTACTATTCACATTCAAGATTTTTTAATGAAACACATCATCTAGCAAGTCTGAGACACTCTACTAAAAGGAGTATCATTTATCAGACCTCTGGCTTTTCACAGCAAAATCCAGCCTTCCCATCCTACGGGCTTGCCATGCTTTTCTGACTCCAATAGTGGAACTGTGCACATTTCAGAAAATGCAATTAAGGGGATTTCTAGAGAGGAGACGACACAGGTGGTGTCAGCTGCAACATATGCAACTGGCAACATGGATTCTCCAGTTTCATCTGCACTAACAGTAAATACCCTAAACACTCGCATTTCCACAGTTAGAGGAGCACTGCTGTTCTCTTCTTGGGTATGTGGAAGGGGAGGATGCAGGTCTGACCAGTTACCTTCCTCAAACATGTCTCATCAGGCACAGGCAGTTCCTGAAGAAGTACAGGAGCCAGAGATCTGTAAACCCTTGCCAGTCAAAGTGAGTGGGGATCCTCAAGGAGTGGAAGTGTCAATGGAGGAAGGGACAGCAGAGTATTTGGGTGGGTAGAACAGTCAAGATCTGAGAGCAATGTCTCTGCCATCCAAATTTAAGCTTGTTCAAAGCTGGAGGAAAAGACATGTAGTGTTTTTATCCGCAAACCTCTGTAAAAATTACAGAATCACAGAATAGCTTGAGTTGGAAGGGACCTTTAAAGGTCATCTAGTCCAACTTCCCCTGCAATAAGCAGGGACATCTTCAACTAGACCAGGTTGCTCAGAGTCTCGTCCAACCTGGCCTTGAACACTTTCAGGGATGGAGCATCTACCACCCCCCTGGGCAACCTGTTCCAGTGTTTCACCAATCTCAGTGTAAAAAACTTCTTCCTTATATCTAGTCTAAATTTATCCTCTTTTAGTCGAGGGCCATTATCCCTTGTTGTATCACAACAGGCCCAACTGAAAAGTTTCTCCCCATCTTTCTTAAAAGCCTCCTTTAGGTACTGAAAGGCCACAATAAGGTCTCCCCAGGGCCTTCTCCAGGCTGAACAAGTCCAACTCTCTCAGCCTTTCCTCATAGGAGAGAGGCTCCAGCCCCTGGATCATTTTTGTGGTCCTCCTCTGGACCCGCTCCAAGAGATCCACATCTTTCCTGTGCTAAGGACTCCAGAGCTAGACGCAGTACTCTAGGTAGAGTCTCAACAGAGTAGAGGGGCAAAATGACCTCCCTTGACCTGCTGGCCATGCTCCTTTTCATGAATTTGAATTTGAATTCAAGCTCTCCTTTTTCGTCTGCATGCAGGAGAAAGACACCATTCTTCCCACAGGATTAAATGTAATATTTCCCACGGATTTCATGGGGAAGTAGAAGACGACTGTTTGTTTTACTTCATGGTGTCCCATCACAATTAAAAGTACCACTAAAATAACAATCGGTCTTGCTTACTGGGAAAAGTGCAGTGTCCACAAAGCCTTTAAATAGTGCTAAAATTGCATTCTGGATGGAACAAAGCAGGATGAGAGGGAAGTTGAACAAAAACCAACATGGAAGAAGAAATCCATCTTCTAACTACTGACCTTGAAACGGTTGATCAGATCATAGCGTGTGAGAAGTTCATAGAAAATGAATTTCAGTGCATGATCCCCACTGGCATCGTTTAGTGCAAATACATCAAAGGACCACTTGTCTACATTCTGCAAGAGTGGGTAGAAAAGCCAGTTAAAATGGTCGTCTCTTTTACAATGATAGTTCAATTTCTATCACTTCATATCTACAAACGGAAAATTAGAGTGGTAGTGTATAGCTTTTTTTTTTTTAATTTCTTCAATTTAATTTAACCAATGCAGAGTCTAATTTACTCATCAGTATTGCATGACTTATGTTTAAGAAGCTTCCATTAAGAACATGTATGCTGTTTGTTTATTCTAAACATGGCAATTCTCCACACCACAATTTAATCAGCAAAGGCTGAATCCAAAAAGGTAAGAATCTTCGTTTACTTTAGTACCTGAAACATTGGGATGGCACTATTGTGGTGATTTTATTCTTCCCTGTCCCGTACCCACATGCTATGTCTATGGAAAATAACACTAACTTCGAAGGAAACAGGAAAAACAAAGATATGCTTTTTAATGATAACAAAGCCTCTGAATTTTGCTGTCCCTATAAAGTTGTTATGACTTTGTATTGTGAACAAAGGAAGCACGTAAGTGCTTCAAGCACGCTTAAAACAGAATAAGGTGACATGTTTTTGCAATAAAAAAAATACAGGCACCTGTGGTCATATTTTTACCACTTACTGTTCCATCAACCAAAATAATAACTAACTAGAAGAACTATCTTGGCTGGACCCAAAGAGCAACTTAGTTCCTTCTGATTTTAATATTAATCCTGAATTGTGATTATTGTAGCTTAAACTGCCCAAAGACAGCATGACCCTAATTTTCCTTATTTTTTTTAAAGATAAGTGAATCCACTGAGGCTTTCAGAAAACTACAAGGCAGGAGAAAATCACAGTAAGTTACATTAAGTGCTAACAATGATATAAAAAAATAACCTTTATAACAAGAGTAAACATCTAACTCCAGTTAGGAAAGTTCCAGTCAGCTGTAAATGATGTATTAATGCTGTAGGGTGCGCAGCCAAGAGATTGAGGAGGGAAAGTTCACTACCCAGCTCATAAAGCTAAAGTATAAAGTATAAAACTTCTTGCTGAAGGTTAAGTTCAAATCTCAACTCTTAGCGAAGGCTGTGGGAGCTGACAGCACTCATTATCCAGCAAGATAAAGCTCCTTGATCTCAGAATTGGATGTTCCTGACACCCTATGAACCTTCCTCTCCTCCTCCTAGCAACCAAGAGGAAAGGTGCGGAAGGAGTTATAGCTAGAAGAATGATATACAGATCAACCACACCGCTGCATCTGGCACACGACCAGCTCTCAGTCTCTCTTGCCTGCTGAGAACTTTGATGTGCTTTCCACAGGGATTTATCCAAATGACTCTCCTTAAATCACACATTAAAGACAGACATCTGTACACTGATGTTGCCCTCCACTTTCAAACTCTGTTGCAGGTTACCTCCCATTCCCTTGTGGCACTTTCACCAAGAAGGAAAGATGACTGCATTTCACACAGGCATGTGCACAGCTGCTCTCGCAGACATAATGTTGAGTGCTGTTAAGGATCAGAGTCCATCTAAAAATCTGCCATCTTTTTTAGCAATACTAAAAATGCTAAATTATAACTATCTACCGAGCTGTTAAAAACGGATCCATCTTTGTTATTTGTAGTCATGGTTATGTTCCAGGTAAGCACCTGACTTCAAATCAAATGTAAGGGGCAGTGACCTTTAACCACCTTGTGGTTGGTCACCCATACATCAGCATAGCTACAGGACTTATGTTCTGAACGAGACCAAGGTATTTTGGTATCGGTTCTCTCCAGCGTGGGCTGATCCTGACAGCCATGATACTTGCACAGTGTTGACTACACAGAGCTGAGTATGCCTCTTGTGGAAGTTCAGTCCACAGAAAGGCTAATCACTGAGTGAATATCAAGGATGCTGAAGATTCAGCTCTGCTTTCACCTATCGTAGCAAATCACTTGCTTGCCAAGCAGTTGATATTACAAGCTATGTGGAGCCCACACCCTGAAGGCAGGGTCGAGCTTCTCCAGAGATGATTTGTGGCCCAAGTCACAGAAAAGCAATCATAAATTGAAGCTTTTCAACACTTTCAATAGGCATTGGAGAGGAAAACAACGAAGAGAGGAAAAAGTTCCACCAGCAAAACATGTTTTGACGCCCTTGAACAAACTTAGAAAAGAGGCAATAAAAATAATGCCCAAAGCATCCACTCAGTCAATTTAAAGTATTCTCCTGTTTTATGAGTGTTTTTGTTTTGTAATCACTTATCTCAGTCAATAAAGCAAATTAATTTAACACTTGCATGTATATAATAATTTACTTTCGAGTCCTATGGCATTGAAAATAATGTCTCAACTACACTAAAATCTAATTCACTGTAAGGCCATCTTATCTTATAGAAATAAAAAAGGGTTTGTTCCTTTACACGTTTTTCCTGTAGATAATGTTCCGCTCTTACAGCAGATAAAATTTACTAAATTGTGAAATTGCAGAACAGCACATCAGAATTGTTCTTTTGCCCAAAATAAGGGATAACCACATAGGCAACAAGTTTCACAGTAGAGCTATTTAGATTTTACTGAGGGAGAAACCTTTGCTCTTGTCAAGTAAACAGAAGTTTTGCTATTGACAATAATGACAGTAGCGTTTCACCCTGAATAACCAGGGGAAAAAATCCTCTTAACAGATGCACTAAAGTGTCACAGATGCTTAAAGGCTTGCAGCAACACCAGTTACGCTTTGAAAATTAGTGGATTTTATGACCTTAAAGAAAAATTTAAAACAGAAGTGACTCTTACATTGTAGAGAGACAAAAAAGGAGCCAGAACTTCATGGGTGTCTTGTGATGGAGGAGAAAAGCTGTTTCTTTTCCCTAAAGAGAGACGGAGAAGCGAGGGATGGGAAACTTTCTGTGCTACACACTCCTGTAGGTCGCTGGTCTTGTAGTGTCACAAGCTGCTCTAATGTCACATATTCCCACTGTGGTGTAACTGCAAACATATCCAAGGTGTTGTACCTCTCAGTCCTGTGTCCTTATTACTTGGCCATTGCTCCACTGCTTGGGGGAACCTAGAGATGCAGTGAAACACCTGCAATTTCCTGCCTTTCTGTCTGTCCTTAACCTCGGAGACTTGATTTGGTTTATAAGCCAACAAGCAGATTCAGGGATAGATGTTATTCTGCTCAATGTTACTGGAAGGCCTGACATTTTTGAAGCCACAGATAAGCAGAACACCGTAAGCGAAGACAGTTTCTGTGTTCATTACCTGTATATTAGCTAGCCCAGAAAACATTGCCATGACAGCACGGGCATCAGAAAAGGCTGACACCTTCACTTCTAAAGCAGGTAACTACTTCAGCAGCTAGTTAATGTGAAGTTCTGTCTCTAGCACTACACTGCAGAACAGCAGATCACCACAACTTACTGGGTAAATGAACATACTCACTTATTTGAACATGTCTGTATGAATGGTATGTACGGCCACTATTCAAACGAGAGACAAGGCTGATCATCCCTTTTCTGGCAACAGGTCTTACATCATCACCCCCATGCCATGCAGAAAGGAAAGAGGCAACTACAGCAGAAAAAACAGTATCTAATATTGTTCAATCAATTAAAAAAATTGCCTAACTTCTCATCCACTGAAAAAGTGAGTGAGATTATACACTTAGGACTTTCACTGCTACCACTCCATCTGCATTTTTTTGCAGAAGCTGCAGTATTTAATTAATTTATTAAAATCAATCTCATTTTGCCAAGCTGATTCCACAGCTTTGGGTTACTCAGTGCAGACGTCCTGTTGACCATGGCAGCAAAAAGGAGAGCACATAGAAAAAAATAAGAAAAATAAGAGAAAAATAAGCTAGCTTTGACTCCATGTCTTCTCACTCCTCGTCCTTATTAGCATGACTCTAAGGGGAATGCTGATTATGGCAATACAGAACAGCTGAAGTGATGTGTGTGGTACGCCCTTTCGCATGCTTACACCATCAGCTCATTTTACAGAGCACACCAAGCAGCTGGGTAGCTGTCAGTGTTTTTTACTTGGCTTTCCTGGACTGAAGCAAACAACAAAACGTACCATTTTCCATTAGGGAGATGAGACTGAGAAATTTAAGATGAAGTACTATTTCAAAGATAGAAGACTCCTTCAAAACAAGTAAGTCCCATGTCAACCACATCCACTACCAACCCCAAGGCCATCCAGGCAAAGACATGTTCTCAAAATAGTTTGGGAAAAAAATACATCCTAGAGTGCACAGTGGCCAAGCAGGCGTTATTTCACCCTGAGCAAAATTAATCAATGCCTTTGTTGTTATTGATGTGTTAACTTACTTTAGCACAATAGTTCTCTTTATGACCCTTAATCATTTAAAAACATAGAAAGAGGAGAGGGATTCTGTAAGGTTTAAGTCAGCTGAGAGTAGCTGATGGGTCTTGGATTTTCTTGTCACTGCTGAGGAACTCAGGAGAAGAGGTTCCATTACAGATATGTTCCCTCATAAGCTGTCTATGGGGTGTAGTTCTAAAAGAACAAAGACTTTAGATCCCATTTGCAGGAGTGAAGCTAACACTTGTCAACTTGCGGTTGGAAAAAGGTGTGGATGGATGCTTTGATTCCATGTATGAAAGGCACGTTTGATCTTCTTCTTGCATTTAATGGACCTTCTGTAATTCCTCCACACCTTTTGATGATTTGTACGATCCAAACCAAGAAGGATTAGTACCCTAACTGTATGTCTTTCCATTGCGGAGTAGAGCAGAAGGATTGTTTCATGGGCTTCACACCTAATGTCCCTGTGTGATGTTGAAACAGTGTTTCGCTGCTAACTGATGTCAAAAAAATGTATTTTACTATTCCAAATAGATAAGGAAGAACACTGTATCTTAGAATGTAAAGGACACTGCTGCACTGGCAGTTGGTTGCTAACTTGTGTTTGATAACTCCTGCCTAAGCCAAGAACCTTGCAATTGTCCGATGGATTGAACTTTTGTTTTTTTCAGACTACTTCTGACTAACTAGTTTTCATCTAAAACCTGAAAAGTAATAAAAGGCTCATTATTCCTGAACTGATTGTCACCTTGAAGATCTGAAGCTGAGCCATGCTGAGCAACGCAAGAAATTCCCTTCTCTTACAGCAGCTGATACTTTTCCTTCTCCACCTCTCTTCATCTGTGTTTTCTTTCTTCCATGTGGGAGGTTGTGATTGATTCTAGCATGTAAGTAATGGCTCAGTTTAATCACTGTAATCTAGAACAGAGCTGTAACCTGCACCACCTGAAAATGGTCAGAGCCTTGAACTCTATTCTTTCCTTTATTGAAAGGATATTCCCTTAGGCCAGTAAACGATTAATGTATGCGAACTAAACTAAACGTCAGACAGAAGGAAAGTACTAAGATCCCCTCACCAAGCCAAATATCACAGTGTTATCTTGATGCTTTGTACAGAACCGCCCCCCCCAATACCTTTTTATTGGGATTACCTTTAGCACTCCAATTACAGCTGGTGGGTAGCTCAAACCGACCATATTTGAAGTCCGTCTGTACATTCTACCAAGATAAAATAGATAAGGCAACACATAAATAGAATTAAACAAAACAAACAAAAATCATAAAGCAACAGACCATTACAGAAAACCTTATTTAGCCCAGGAAACTCTAACTGTAATTTTTTTTTTTTTTGTAGTGTAAACACACACTACAGGTGCAATCTGCAGTACCTGGGCAGCTACTAGAACAAAGTGATTACGTGCTCCTTTACCTTTCCACAAATATCCCAGCTTGTACTGCATGGACAATACTCCTGAACCGGGGTTTTTCCTCTGTCCTTTTGAGCATCATCCCCATTTGCCGCGTAAAGGTAGAGGCCAACCAGTCCCGGACCTCCGAGGGCACAGAGTCGGACTGGATGTCACTGAGCTCATCTTCTGTGTCCAATAAACGCCTAGAAGGGGGAGGAAAAAGATGGGTGAACAGACTCCCTTGTAGAGCATTGCAACATTACTAAAAAAAAAGAAACTCACATAAATTCTAATTAAAGCAGTTGTTAAATGCCTTTGGTTCATCAGCCCTAATGGAACACAACCGTACAAGTCTTCAAAATATTGTTTATTCTCTTGTGTAGTTAAACGTCAGATTGTGAAACCCACTATTAGGTCGACAGACAAGAAGTATCAGCCTTCTGAAGCATAATTACATAATCATCCACTGAATTCTCTTCTTCAGCTCATCGGTATTCCTCACCTTTCTGCCTTTCAGAGCTCATTTACAGTCATGTCTAGCTTCCTAGTTAGTATCATACAGTCCTCTTCTTTCCCATTCTGGTCATCTGAGGTGACTCTACAAGTGCATTTAACACTGGGGAAATGGTATATAACAGAGAGGGAAACTCCTCTGCAACGTCTTACCAGTCTACCTCTATCATGACCTAGAGTCATGAGAATTTTTTTAATTTCAAAGACTTGATACAAGTGAAAAGATTTAACACTCCTCAAAAGGAATAGAGGAGTAGAAATTTAGAAACTTTCAGAAAAAGTGAGACACAATTATTATGAAAGCATCACTCCAAGAGAACATATATTAAATTTATGATTGCTTTTGATCTCCTCCCCTGCCCCAGGAAACTTAAAGAAGCTTTTAGACTAAGGACTGAAGATCTGCTCTATACAGAGCACAATATTTTAATGTCTGTGAGCAATAAATCTTGGCTAAAATGACCTTCCCAATTGACGTGTAAATTACAACTTTATGTTGTAAGTACTAGATATGTGCTGATGTCTGTAGCTAACTCACCTAGTTTCGTCAATGTATACTGACTCAAGAACAGTTGCAGCATATTCCAAATTCTTCTTTAGGTCTACAACTGAAGCTTCCCCTCTCTCTAACTGCTTTACCAAAGACCGCAATCTAGAGAAAAGGAAAACAGAAATCTGATTAGTACAAAGAGAAATTAGTTTGCCAGTGAGCATCAGTTCAGGACTGGATCCTGCACGAGACCTAGCATACATGATTGGCAGGTGAAAACTTCTGGAAGTCTACAAGGTTCTTTAAACCATATATAAGAAATCAACAAAAATCACTTTTCAAAGATCAGTCGCAGTGATGTCAGGCAAACATCACATTATATTTGGGCTCAAGTAAGTCAGCGAGTTATGACTGTCCCCTACTCATACTGGAATAAGTTAAAATAGAAAACATTTGGAATTTAACACAGGAACTAAGAGACGGCAGTTTCATTCCAGCCATAAGAAAGGAAGTAAATTCTTGAGTAGTGTTTGCTGATAAATGTCAGCCGTTTATGATGACTGGTGTACAAATGTCTATTAGATTATATTTAGAAATACTATTGCAGAAATACTATACCAGGTTAGGAAATGCTATGATTTTCATTAGATCAAGAGGTCATCTTTAGACTATCCCATCTACATTAAATAGAACTCATAGAAGTTTTTTTATCAGGTTGTTGCTATTATTATTATTGGAGGGGAACAGACATTCTGAAAACAAAAATTTGTGCAGAAAATATCTCCTGTGTCAAAGAAAATTAATATGTTTCTGCAATTTTCTTTTGTCTTTTCCTCTCCCTTCACTGTACTTTCTGTGGCAAATTAGAAAAACAAAAAAGGGAAGGAGGAGAAGAAAATGTAAAAGTAGAGAGTAAAATCTAAATATTGTAAACAATCCAAGAATATACATGCTTACAATTAGAAGAAGAAAATTATCATTCCTTTAAAAGAGCAATGGAATAAAGATTTGACATGTTAAAACATTTTTGTGACTGTCCTCACCCTTGTTAAAAGGCTGTTAAATAAACATTCAAATACACATTTGATAGTGTAGCAGAAATCACAAGTTGTTAATTCGTCCTGTTCAAGATGCAAACATGGAGAGGAGTAGTCATGTCATCTAAAATTTTTCTTCTACTTAGGAGACTACCCTTCCTCAGCTTTTTCTACAGTCCATGGAGAACAATGACCTTTTCCACAAGGTTATTCAGAGCTAGAGCCCAACAGAGGTGCCCGCTCTCGCTTTATTAACTGCAGTGGGCGCCCAACCTCCTGCTGTAGACATGTACACGAAGTTCTTAAGATGAAATGAGTATCTGTATTCCCTTGCTATCACCATGCCCCTGTGGCATCCGCGCTTGCAGAGAAACCAGGTCTCTCCGGGGCTGTATTTCACGGCAGAGCTGAGAGGCAGGTGGTCTGCCCACGGGCACTGCACCAGCAGCTCTTTCCAGCTGGGTTTCCTTCCCCTTTCTTTCCTCGCATAAACAGTGAGGCTGCAGAGAACAAAAATCATAAAAAAGTATCGATTGTTGCTCTGGCTCGGTCACATGAACGCCATCCTTACTGACAGTGGTATTGCTGACACACACGTTTAGCTTCACAAAGAATCTTGAGCAAGAGGTGCACCCTCCGCCTCCGTGAGGATTAATGCTTCTGCTTGTAGGCGGTCGAAAAACAAAAGTATCATTCAATACTTCATTCCTGATGTGAGAGTGGAGATGGGAAGGTCAGTGATGTACAAACACACTGAACACAACTCTTCTCATCTCTGTAAGCCAGGTGGAGAGTATTCAACTATACCAGCATGTTTCCCTCTCATCCTGGAACCCAGCTGAAGCCCCATGGAAGAAGAAACACGGCTCCGTGCTCCCAAACCCCTCTTCCATGCAACTGCACCACCAGGTGTGAGCAGCAACACGTTGTGTTTGATGAGCAGAGCTAGGAAAGGTGCTCCCTCACCTCTCAGGTTGATTCCAGCCTCGGGCAGCACACATGGAAGATGAATTCACCTCCTCCCTAGAGCCAAACCACCGATCCCTTCTACCCATTCCCAGCTTTTCTTGTCAATGCAGGAGAGGAGGAAGAGAAAAAAACAAAACACCTTTCACATCCAAATAGTTCATATGTCTTCTCCTTCCTTCATCCCACGCATGTGGAGTCCAGAGATGTGACCCCTTAACTAGCTACCAGAAACACTGTATACAAAGCCACAGGAGTTAATATTGCAGGAGGAACATTATCTTTGGCTCTTCCTGACTTTTATTTCATTGATTTAGGTACCTGGCAGCTCTATGCCACAAGTCATTCAAAATTCATGTTCAATAATAGCACAGTGAGTAACGGTTGCTTCGTGGCACCAACATTCATCATCGAAGCAGGTTATGCAGAGTCCTGCGTGCATCAATCATTCGGAAAAGCAGAAGCACAGTTGTTATAATAAAACCTTGTCACGCGATCAGCCGCTCTCAGATGAAAAAAAATTACATTGTCTTTGTCTTACCATCCATTATCTATAACTATTTCTGATTCATTGAGTCGCAGCAGCTGCTGCCAGTTAACTTTACTAAATAAGAGCCTGGTGATAGTTTGTCTTTAATGCATTCCATGTATCTCTATTTTTTCAAAATAGTCCTAAATGCAATCATAAAGTTAAGGCCAGGCTGTCCCGCTGAAGGGCATCCAGGCAAATTTATTAGCTGAGAAATTCTGTTTCAGGGTGGCTGAAGTCATTCCAGACTTCAATCAAACTCGTCAAACCATTCTGACTGAAATAAAAACATTACAACAAACTTTTAACATGCTTTATATTTTTAGGAGTTTGTATTAAAGCAATGGAAGCAGAGGGCAGGATGCTGACAGCCTATCGTTACCCCACAGGCTAGTCGTTGCAGCAGGGGAGCAGGATTCGGTCGCACGTATTTTCACAGGAAAATGCTGAGTCTGTCAGGCTACTGACTAACGAAACATACTGATATAATTATCATAATCAATTTAAGGAACCCAGTTCATCATTTACTTTGCTTTTATTGTAATTGTCTGGTTTGTATGAACAAAGCACTTTTCAAACCAAAACATGTTTTCTTCTGTTCCAAAAAGTTCATTACAGACCGATCAAACTCTAAATTTTCACTATTTCTTTTTTTTCTTTTCATTCAAGTTCAGAACTAAAAATTTGCACGGATCTACCAGACCTAGTTCCCTTGAAGCCCACAGAGAAGCAGTCAATTCCTGTGCAGCAGAGTTGTAGGAGAAGCAGCCAATTCCTGTGCATAAGGAGATCCCAGGCTAAGAGGGAGGTGTTAACCATTTCTAGTATTAAGCCCTCTTAAGACCATGGCGCATGCCACAAGTACGCCAGGCTGTAGGTCAGCCACAAATTTTCAGGTTACAGTCATCAACACTACAGTTAGAAAGAACTGGTTGGTCACACAATATAAGCTCTAAATCTAGTTGTTTAATTATATTAAGATACATCTAATGCTTTTCTTCATGAGATTTCCAAGGAAACCTATTCCTCCAGTCTGCAAATACTCTATCAACGTGTGCCAAATATTGGGGAAAAAGCCTGAGAATTTTTGTTCTACATGGTTATTTCACATTTTAGTCCTTGGAATAATCTCGTAACTACCCAAAGGAAAAGCCTAGTCCTGAGCAATGCTATGTATTTGAAATTCTGACCCCACAAGGAGCTCAAGCGCGTGTAAAATCTTGGAAAAGGGTGTACCACTTCCAGAACACGGCATCCCACACTGCCCTTCCAAGGGCAACACCTGGATGCACCCACCAGAAAACCCCCTGAAAAAGTCTGCAAATAACCCCACTGAGTTCATTCAGCAGAGCAATACGTTTGTGTGGAGCCAGTGGCTTGGGTCCTTGGTGAAAGGGAGAGGTTATCCAAAGTGTATGCGCTTCCACATCCCTGCTCCCGCGCTTTTTAATGTTTCTCTGAAGTACCAGCTATCACGAGATTCAGGGAGGTAGAAAGCAAATGATTAGAAACTGGTCAACTGAACTCAGTCCATGGAAGTTACACAGCTCAAAGACCCAAAGCCACTCTAGATCCAAACTGTGTAATGGGAAAAAGTGAAGCTGTTTTCAGCGTGTTCTTGAAATGTGGAATTTCTGAGTACCCGCTCCGAGCGTTCTCCTCTGTCATAAATAAAACAGTAGCCGTATACAAATATTTATCTCCTTAGCTAGAGGGCTTGCTTTTATGCTGTCGATTTTTTTTTTTTTTTTTTTTTTAAATAGCATTACATATCACTGCAGAGAAGATTAACACCACTGCAGTCTGGGTACCAGTCAGCTTCGATTACCATGCAAAGCACACGTATCGTCTGAATACTTGGGGCAAGTTCCTTCAACTAGTGTAAAGTCTGCAAAGCTGCGCAGCCGGTCTCTGCGGTTATTTTCAAAGCTTTATGACCGTGGCTCATCACACGTTTTCAACAGCACAACTCAATCTCCTCCTCCGAGAATCGTTCTCAGACCATTAGGCTGGCTGAGGAAAAAACTACTTTGAATGCACAAAAATAAAATAAGTTTTTAATATCATTACAGATTAGCAAGGATGGAATATTTATCCCTGTTCTACTGTTAACAGCTAAACAGTTTGATATTGACAGCGGAACCTGATGAATATGTTTTTTCAACCACGATAGCCTACTACCTGACAGGTGAGGTTTGTAGAAAGCAGAGATATTTTTTATTATAGCCAGGAAAAGAGGGCAAGCTATTGAAAGCAGCACTGCTGGAGCTGGTTAAGTACTCTCAAGACAATGTTCTTCCATCAATCGTCACTAATTTTTTGAGATCAAAAGCTATTCACGAGCCTCTGCTAAGTCCAATACAAGTTTCATTAAGAAATGAATCGGAATGTGGAATTTCTTATCAAAACTGGGCACTGCCCACGTAGCAAAGGCCCTCACCAGAAAAGGGAACCCTGGGCTGAAGTGACTGCCACCTGGTCCTTTTTAATACATACCGAAATTGGAGATCCCAGAACTCAGGTGATAGCCTGAGGGAATCATCTTTGATAGGTCAGTCCTACAGAACGGCTTGGTGGGAGAAAGGACTTGCACCCTACACCAGAAAATTCTCATGAGTGGATTATTTGCC